CACCATACATAGCTCACAGTACCAATACGACCAATGAGTATGTGATGGAGAGGCTGGCGAGGCAGAAGTGGGCTTATTTTATCATTTTTATTTTTTCTTTTCTTTTTGGGGGGTTGCTACAAAAATGGGGGGTGCACATGGAGTGTATGCTGTGAAATTCCCAAAGAATAAAAGTTCAAACACATAAAACAGTGGGCCTCAGGTCAAGGAGAGAGAGCTGCAGAAGCTTTTGTGCAGGAGAACCACCCAGGTGTGGAGTTGCTTGCAAGCTTGGACCAGGTAGTGGCTGCTGCAGCCTTGGCTGAACTCCATCTGGCCCAGACAACACTCAGAACGCTGCTGGGTTAGCTGCCATGTGTGGTGATGGATAGTGGCTGTGGCCTGATTCTCGAGGCGGCATGGACCCACTGCAGTGTGCTGTGGTCCTATGTGAGCCCTAGTTCCAATGAGGGGGTAATAAGGATAGCACAGATTGGTCAGACTTATAACAGGAGTTTGCGCCTACATCTTCTCAAGCAGCGTGGTCTACAGGTTAGGGAAGCTGCATTTTTATTCTGAATCATTGGATTGATGGTAGTGGCAAGGCCAAGAAAATGCTTCTGGAATCCCAGTATGGGCTCTCAGGCTAAATTTTAGAGTTCCAGAATAGGATGATGGGTGGGAACATCCAGGCCTTGATGTTTACAAGTCACCTCCTGTTGTGGGATATTCTGATCACATTTGGACACTCCCAAGACTAACAATAAAGCCAAACCTTGAATCAGAGGGTGGAGTCAACATTCAGCTGGTCAGAGTTAACCATAGGGTGTTTGGTGGACCAAGATTATGATAGAGAGACACAGAAGGAACAGTGAGGGGCTTAGAAAGATTCTCGGGCCTTTTCAATTTGGAAGTGTGGAAAGTCAGAGTTAGCTGATCGTTCCTGCATTGCTCTTTAGATCTATAAGATTTTAATCCCAATATCTGACTCCCAAGTTTTATTTAATAGAACAATATAATCACTTCCTCTGGTGCTTTAACTTCCTCAATGTTATTGTCACATAAAGATTCTAACTAAACCTGGTGACAGCAACCCCAGCTCTTCAGAGGCATCCCACAGTACCAGAGAACTTTCCCCCATGATGCTCTTCCTCAAGGGTCTCATTCCAATCCTACATGCCAACCAGGTACCAACACAACTTCACAGATCTCAGGATCCAGTACTGGTCGCAGTGTCAGGGCACACACCTGCAGGTCCAGCACCATGGAAGCAGAGGAGGGAGTTTTCCTAGTTCCGGCTCATCCTGGAGACATAGCAAGACCCTATCTCCAAACCAAGGGCTGTGAATGTGGCTCAGTGGCAGGGTGCTGACATGGCGCCTGCTGGGATTGGAACCCAGCCCTAGAGGAAAACACCAAATAGGTTTGTGTGTTAGAGGAAGACCTTGTCACATCGGGGCAGTTCCTGTGGTTCTGGAGGGTTTTTTTTTTTTCTATACCTCAGGGACCTCACAGTTCTTGTCTCCAGATATCTGTATCCGTTTGTCCTCAACACGGCTCTCTATTAGAATTAAACTCTTAAAATCCTTGCTGCCCTGATCAACTTCTCATGTGAGGAGGAACCACAGCATTGGTGTGTTTAAAGCTCCCTAGACGGTTCCACCAGGCAATAAGGTTGGGAGCCACTGTCCTGTTCTTCAAGCTCAATTAGCTTCTCCAGAGCCTGTGTATGGAATGAGGCATCCTGGACCCCCATCTTGATTGCATTCTGAAGGCAATTCTTTGGGTTTTGTCTCTCTGTGTGTATCTCCCCTGTGTTTTATTTGGTGGCGACAGTATCCCAAGGAGTAGCCAAAAGGTCTACATGAAAACCTGCTTAGACATAGGGACCACAACACATGGAAACTCTCTACTACGTTTAACTCACTCCAAGACAAACTGCAGCAAATGTCCACGTACTTGCATTCTCACCATCAGGTCAGCATTGTCCTGAGCACATAATTGTCCCATCCAGCATATTCTGTTCTATTCAAAGTCTAGTGCAAGGGAAACGAGCTAGCGGGTCTTCGGGGCCACTTGGCCACAAGACACATCAAACACACAACGTGACAAGTGCTGAACGCCTCTGTCATCCCGTGTTTTCTCTCGCCACAAAACTCTCCAAAAGCTTTACAAACATTCTGGTCCAAGCGTCAAGGTGACTAAAAATTGAGAAGTCAGCAGAAGTCTGGTGGGTTCTGTTGCCTTGTTAAGCCAAGTTCCTGTAATGAGCGAGGCACCCAAGAGATGCTCAATCAGTATCATGTGGGATGATTAAAACTAACTTGAAAAGAGAGTGTTCTGATACAGAACAGGGTTGGCTTCTGAGGGGATGGCAAGAAAATAGTCCTTGAAAGGGCCTACTATGTGTTTTTCAGACAGCATGGATTTTTATAACCCTAGGAGGTGGGTGTTCAGGCAATTCTTGTTGTGTGTATACATGTTTGTATGTGTGTACGGGTACACGTTGAGGCCTAAGCCTTCTCTCTACCCCAGTATTCAAGACTAACAAATCACTCCAAGCTCCACCTTTCAATGTGTGAATCTGTATTTAGGCAGGTTGGCAGCAGGGACAGGTGCTCAGCTCCAGGAGGGTCCAGGGAGGGGCGGGGGCATCAGCCATGATAGGTCACACTCTTGCTTTCCTCTGGCCATTGCAGAGCAACCCTAGTGGCCTAGATCCCTCACTCAGTGACCTAGTCTGGCTTTGAGTTGGAATAGAAAACTCCTGCTGTAAAAACCCAGCTCTCCATGTCCCTTCCCCAGTCCAACAGGAGCGGTGTCTGTACTTGGGGAGAAGCCAAGCACAGCAAAGGATTTCAACAGAGAACTGAGGAAACACCCCCACTGAGGTTCTCATAGCAACATAATCACGTACAGCGGCAGCCTATTTCGGTGGGAGCCTGCTTCAGCGCCCCTCCTCCCCCGTTAGTCACAGAATGGATGAACAAGCAGAAGGAGTGTGGGGTGGGGACAGTGTTGGGTTGAAAGTCAGGAGGCTGAAGAGCTGGTTTCAGACACTTCCCCAGCTTGTCAAAGGGACCATAGAAAAATGTCTCCTTCTCTGTGATCCAGGGTCCTTAATCTGCAGGAGGACTGGCTCAGTGTGCGGGTGGGGATCTTGCTTTTTCTAGTCTTATTTGATTGTACAAGTACTGAGCCTCTTTTGATCCAACATCGCAGAGTCCTTTGATCTGGGAGAAGATGCTTAGAAAACAGAAGGTACCAGAGGGTAAGAGTCACTCTTTAGATGCACTTATACCCCCGCTCCCCTATACAACTTTTGGAAGAATGGCAGGATGGTAGCGAAGAAGACCAGGTACTGCCAAAGATCACTCATTTGTGCCCAACTCCAATTTAGGTCTGTGGACTGAGAGGCTGAGGTCATTCATTTGAATTTACTCTTGTTCAGAGCATATAATAAATGTGGTTAGTTTACCCAAGCTTCTTGCTGCGTTTTCTTTAATCCTTCCCATTCTTCACCGTCTCCTCTTCCTGTGTTTCATTTCTCACCCCCCACTTACGACAGTGTCTCTTCTCTTTGCTGGAGGATCTGATCTGATGGAGAAATTCATCACGCTGAGTCTGGTTTGGCCCTTTTCCTCAATGGATCCGGGTTAGTTGAGGACAATCACTCTTACACTTCCTGGCTATCAAAGGTTACGATCAGAGTACGCAGGGCATTTGGATCGGATGAGTCAAATGGAGACGGAAATAAAGAGAGCAGAATGTAATGAGGGCATCTGTGAGGTCCCTGCCATTGACCTGTGGGGCCGGGGAACCTGAAGTTCAGCTGTCTTTGGGATAGCCAGCTAAAGTGTCCTGAGTGCGGCCTCCTTCCCCCATTGTTCTGTCCCCCAGTGCCTGACAGATGGCCGAAAGGGAGAAAAAAGCTCTCAGAGTGAAGACAGGAATGCATTGTATAAAAATTCACACCCCCCGCTGCCGCCCAAACTCCCTTAAAAAAGGATCTAGAGAATCCTAATGGGTACGTGACATCCTCACAGCTCTCTCCCATAAAAGGGACTTCAAAATCTGGTGGTGGGGGAGGGAGAAGGAGGGGGGAGGAGAAATGTGGGGCCAGGGTAGGGGGGCTGTCAGGCAAGACAGAGATAGGGAAGGTAGACCGCACGTCGTTTCATTGACTTGTTTCTGATCATTCTCCCAAGCCACCTCGAGCGGCCACCTTCAACCTAACCCGGTTCTCCTGAGAGGGGTTTGAAGCCCCTCTAGTCTTGGGCTCAGAGAGTGAAGGAAAGGCTAGATAGAGACGGCCTACTCAATCCTAGAGTTGAAGGAGTTAAGGACCCCCCCCCATTCCAGACACTCATTCTTTCACTCCCCAAACCGTAATCCGAGAAGGATCCAGGAATCGCCGGGGGGGGGGGGGGGGGGGGGGGGAACGACGACGAAGACGAGGTGACGGTGGCCGAGTCTTGCCCCGGGTTTGCCTTAGCTAGGAGGTTTCGCACCCGGGCTGAGAACCTCCGACAGCCTCGCGGACGCAGGCTTCGGGGAGCCTGGCGCACGGCCCTGCAGCGTGCGCTCAACCCTAGCCCCCGCGCCAGGTGTGCGCCGCGACAGGAGCGGAGCGGAGCGCAGGCGGCCCCCAGGCCCCGCGGTCCCGGGCACGGGGGCGGGCTGGGGGTCCCCGCCGTCAGCGCCCCGCCACCGCCCGCTCCCGCGCACCTCCCACCCCGCCCCCACTCACCCGCTCAGCCCCCGGGAGCGCCGAGCAGGACGCGTGTTGCTTCGCCCAGCGATCGGCAGAAGTTGGGAGAGTTGGCGTCCGCCTCCCGCCTGCCGGACTTCGGAACCGCGGCTACAGCCGCTAGCCCGCGGGGCCGCCTCCCTCCCGCCCAGCCCGCCGCGCAGAGAAGAGGGGCGCGGAGGGGGTCGCGAGCTCGACCAGAACTTGGAAGTGTGCGAAGGGATGCGAGGCAGATGAAGAGCGAGGAAACGTGAACAAAGTGGCGACCGCAGGAGGGACTCCACAGAGCTTGATTGTCGCCGAGGACGCTCAGGCAGAGGGGCTGGCTGGGGATTTTCCCCCCCTTCCTCTCGCATTCTTTGGCTCTCCTTTAAAGCCATACCAGCCCTCTCTCTTTCTTTACTATCTCGAATCCCCAAACCCTTGCTGGCTCTTATGGGCATGAAACACTCCTCCCGCTGCCTGCTCCTCCGGAGGAAAATGGCGGAGAACGCAGTCGAAAGCACGGAGGTAAGGAGGCGACCGGGCCGGGGCTTTAGGCGACCCTGCCGCCCACCCGGACCCCCGTGTGCCGCCGCTGGTAACTGCTACTACCGCTGCCGCGGTGCCAAACTTTCCCCATTCCACTGTGTCTCTGCCGGCAGAGAGAGAGAGAGAGAGAGAGAGAGAGGAGTGTAGGGGTGGGGGGCGACGGTGCATGTCTCAGCTGCCCCCGCTTGAAAATGTAAAAGTCTTTTTCACCCCCATCACCCTCTCCTGACACCCGCTGCTCCCTTCCTGCTCCCCCAAGTCCCAGACCCTGGGCAGCCCCGTTCCCTTGCCCCTGTGCACTGAATTCCGATAGTAATCCCGGATCCCGGCTTTACGCAGAGCTGGGGTGGGTTATTTTAGGGCCAGGTCTGCTCCCTGCAGTACCTCGACTATCTCCCACCGCTGCCTTGGGATTTACCCTTCAAGCTCGAGGCGGTCCCCAACCTCCGGGTCCCTGCAGCACCGCGGAGAGCTCCCGGCCTCAGGGGGCCGACCTGGTGGAGGTACTCAAGCACCTGCAACCAGGTCTCTCCAGCCCACACCGGTGGTTGGACTGGAGGTCGGCAGTTCAGAAATGCTAAAGGAGATGCGGGAGCGCGGAACCCGGGGAGGGCTCACCGGCCGCGGCCCCGTTCAGCACCAGGGACAGCGCCTGCCGCAGCCGAGCCTGCACAGGCGGTGGGGGCTGCCCGCCCTAGGCTGCGGCGCGAAACGGGTCTGAGGCCCCTTGTCCCGCAGCAGCTTTTAAGGAGGCCACTCTAGCTCCACAAATGATACTCTTGCCCTCCGTCTTCGGCAGCCCTCACGGCAGCCCCTTAGCTGCCCTTTCTCTACTCCGGAGTTGGCCCTGATCTTCAGAGAGCCCAGCGGGGCTTTGGGTCCCCAGCAAGTCTGTTCTTTCGTCTCGCTCTGACCCCGCTGTCTTACAGCGGGATGGTTCCTCGGATCTGGGCACCTGTAGTCACCGAGGGAATCGGCGTGGGCAGCCCCCTTACCTTCGCGGAGGAACTGAGCGCCGAGGTGGGGGCGGAGTGGGGTGTGTGTGATCATCCCTTATTCGGTGGCAGGAAAAAGACACAGAGCAAACTCCGGGGCTCTATTAATAGCCCGGTGTCTGGTGGGGCTGCCGTACATTTCACATACGGTAACCCATATGCAGCGTGGGGCGGAGATGGGGGTGTGGTGCGGCAACTGTCCCGGCCTAGCGGGAATGCAAAAACAATGTGAAGACCCTTCCTGGCCTTCTTTCCTAGAGGTCACAACTCATTCCCACCGGACAGTGTAGGCAACAAAGCTTAAGAATCCCCATTTCCTGGACACTAGAGGCAGCATGCTTCTGGCAGCTGTCTATTTTTTAAATAAACGTGCTCTAGGGCTTGAAAGACAAGGGGCATTCAGCAGCTAATGTTTTCTTCTCCTTGAGTTAGGGCAAAGCCAGCCCGCGTGTCGTTCCTTAGCCCATCCTCTTCCCCACCCCCAGCCCGAGAGCAGACCTTTGAAACCGAGTACAGTATACCCAGCGCTCAACATCGCAGCCGAGCGACTCTCTTCATTCCCCTCCCCCTCCGCCCTTTGATCGCCCACCCGAGGAACAGGTTTCTAAAAATAGCTTGGAGTCTCAAGGCCGCGCTCTGGTAAAGAGTTGGACCAGGCACGTAGCAGTCCCTGAAGCTCGGTATCTGTGGCTCTTCCCCTCGGTTTCCCTACCCCACCTCAGTCCTGCTTGTCTTAAAAAAATAATAAAAATAAAAATAAAAAAGTTTTCATGGGTCCTGATCTGCCATCACCCGGACTGGCGCGTGGAGTCTGGTGCAGACCCGGGTCACATTCCGCAGTGTGCAGTGGCGGTTGCGGTTCTCTCCCTCTCCGTGAGGGTTAAAGGCGTCCGGAGCAGGCAGAGCGACGCGCGACAGGCTATTTTTACTTGCTTCCCCCGCTGCTCCACGCTCCCCCTTCTCAGCAGTCGCACATGCCAGCTCTGCTTAAGGCATCAATGAAAACAGCAGTAGAGGCGGCGGCGGGGGCTGGGGGGGGCAGGGAGAGACAGAGAGAGACAGAGACAGAGATTGAGAGAGAAACAGAGAGCAAGAGAAAGACAGAGAGAGGTGGGGGAAGGGGAGGAGGCATAAAGGCAGCTTGGTAGGAAAATACCCAGCTGGGGCCCCTTGGAGGGACAATGAATCAAAGGAGGACAGAGGAGGTTCAGCTCTCAGCAACTTCCTTGGAGAAAGGATGGAACACAGACTTGGTCAAACAAACGTGCCCAGCGAGGCATCCAGGCCTCGTGACTACCGCTTGGTTTTCCTCCAGGAACGGGCTGTTTTTGGAATAAGCTAGGAGAAAAGCAGTGCTTCCAAAGTGGGGTATTGTGGGGGTGCATTGCTTGCACGTTGTAGGGTTGGCAAGAGCCACCTTGTGAAAATGTGGAGGTCAGGGTGACAATGGTTTCTGCCCAGTCCCTAACAGGCACTCACTCTGTACCAGGAAAAAGTAGACCCCCCTCCCCTAAGACCCCAATGGTCTGGCTCTTGTCCTCAAAGAACTTACAAGTTAGTGGATACTCCTGCTGGAGGGCCCTGTTGCATCCTGCCTGGTCTCTGGCTGGTCTTAGCACCCTTTTTGTGTTCTGTCCTCGGACCAAGGCTGTTAAAGAAGCAAAGGCGAATATTTGGTTTTCACTTTATTTGAGGACACATAGTAGCCTTAGGTCAGGTAGTGTCTACAGCCATCTATCTGGTGGGCTAAATCAGGCTTGGAACATGGTTGCCCTCACTTTGGATTCGTTGCTCTTTGCCCTACTCTTGCTATTTCTAGCTAGATGCAGTGTGAATGGGGAGTGGGAGGAGAGGATTACTTTGGAAGGGAAAGAGGCAGTGGGGAGGGAGGCTGAGAGGATGGCAGGATGAGAGTTTTTTTTTTTTTCATAAGGTAAAGATTTGGAATGAGGTGACCGTCATCAGGCAGGGGTAAGGGGTAAGGGATGTAGCTACTTGTACTGTGACCATAGTCTCCGAAGCTAGGAGAGACCGTAGGGCATGGAGCCTTTAGTGCGAGGCCCTGTGGCTACCGTTGGTCCTGAGTGCACCTTCAATCACTCCGATTTCATCTTCTTAATTCATTCATCTGAGCTGTTTCTGTGTGTGCTGTCAGGGAATACCGGGGCAGTACCTGACCTCACTTCCTGCTTCCTCCTGTGCCCTTGCTTCCACGCCTCTTCTCATCAGTCTCCTGTACCCCAGTCAAGCCTCAAACTCTTGAGGGTGACCTTGAACTCCACACCCTTCTGCCTCTACTTTCCCAGTGCTAGGATTATAAGCATGTGACACACTGCATTGGGACTTACCCAGTGCTGGGGATAAACTAAGGGCTTTGTGAGTATTAGGCAAACTCTCTACCAACTGAGCTACATCTTCAGCCTCGTGCTGGAGCCTCCTGTGACATCTGCAGAGCCTCCACTCCCACCCTTGGCAGCCTACCCTCAGTGCCCAGGGAAGGCCCTTTATCCTGTGCCAGGGCCCTAGCCTTCAGCACCTGGCCATGCTGGTCCAGTCTCCCCATCCTTGCATGGCTGGCTTCGGAAAAGATACATCTGCTTTGATAGGGCAGCTCTCTCAAAATTTAGGAGCTGCCCCATTTCCTACAGCGTACCAGGGTTCTTAACATAGTGGGCAAGGCCCTTTAACATCTGCCCCATGGGAGCCTCCAAGATGGCTGAACTTAGGACTGAATGCCTTGTGTCCTTCCCTCCACCCTCCATCTAGGAAGCCTCTTCCCATTCTTCTTTTCTAGGGTGGGAGGAAGTCGTCCTCAACCTGCAAGATTCAAATCAAATGTTGCTTCCTCTGGGCAGCCTTCCAAGATCTCTCATTTAACCCCTCTCCTTAGGGAGAGCAATCTGTCACTTCTCCTTAGGCATTTGTGCTGCTTGCCTCTTGCCTTTCCTATTGCAAGATAATTGTCTTTTATACATATCTGTTTCTCCAATTGGATATGCAACTTTTTTATATGTTTTGTTTTCGGCATGGTATCTGCCTCATAGTAAATAATGTGCTACATTGAATTGATTTGTGTAATTATAAGACTTTTTCAAGCCTTCTGACTTTCTGAAAATTGGGGTCCCCATCTCATATTCTTCTGCTGTACTAGAGCTAATGCAGTCCTTTAAAACTCACAATGGATGAAGATTCTGGAATCCAGATGTTGCAACCACTCAGAGCACTTTGGTACATTCTGGATATTCGCGGATCTATCCAATGTTTGGTAATCATTGCCTCTTGCTATGGGGTATTCATCTAAAAGAAGATAAATGTATTAATCACAAGGGCCTCTTACAAGCCAGGGAGTCAAAGTGCCCTTCTCTGTTTTTCTTGCTGAACTGATTCTTGGTGAAAATCTGATGCATTATTTATGGTTAGTGACTCTTCGATTGGGGATCCATCACCCTAAAGGAGAACACCAGGGCTAGAAAAAACAGTTTTTGCAATAATCCTTTCCAAGAATGCTTCTTGGATGTTCTGTCGACCTGCTGACCCAGAAAGAGAGTCATCACTGACTGAGGAAGATGCTACAGTGATGACAGAATCTGGGTACCCATGAGCACAGCTGGAGTTATGGGGGTAACTAAGCCGACTTTCCAAGCGCTGTGTAGACTTGTAATTCCATTAGCTTCAGCTTCACCTTCAGCCAAAGTGCATGGCCCCATTATCCCAATGTTAGAAACAGAAGTAAGAGGAGGCAGGAGGCAGATGCTTCTCTGAGGATGAGCTGCTTCTAGGTCTCTTTCTGAAGAACATGCCCACCAAATACCTCCTCAGGCCCTGGAGTCCAGCGACTCAGTTTTAAGTCTAGTTCTGGGCTCCCTAGATGTGTTGCTATGTTGAACCAGTAACATGAGGAGATTGCTGTTATGATTAAATACATTTAGTCTTGTGCTGGGGTTAGGAGTCTGGCTCATTCCTGGCCAGTACTTGGTGTCTGGC